CAGCTAACAACTGTCCGTAACTCCAGTCCCAGGGGATCTGACACCCTCTTCGGACCTCTGAGGGTATTGTACAACATGGGTGCACTTACCTACATGCAGGTAATACATGAATACACATAAAATAAAAATAAATGAAATTTGAAAAAAAAGAAAAAAAGAATTGTTGAACTGAGACTGGAGAGATGGCTCAGCAGTTAAGACAGCACTGGCTGCTTTTGCAGAGGACCCGGGTTCAATTCCCAGCATCCACATGGCGGCTAACAACCATCCATAACTCCAGTTCCAGGGGATCTGACACCCTCTTCTGACGTCCATGAACATTGCACGACATGGGTGCACTTATAAACATGCAGGCAATGCACTTATACACATAAAATAAAATAAAAATAATAAAATACTTTTTAAAAAGAATTGTTGATCTGTAATGTTTCTGTAACATAGACCCATGGAAGATGGGTCACATGACAGATGTAGGGTTCCTTTCTCAGTGAACATTGTTCTTCCCTGACTGAGGTCCCTGACCTTGTGGATGTAACTTGTGTGAGTTAGTCATGTGAAATAGGCTTAAATAGAGCTCCTTATCTGCCCTCAACCCCACAGTTACTACCTGTATTTCTAAGGCCTCAGACTTGTCCCTGGCTTCACCTTTTCTTTAGCCCCGACCCTCAGATTGAACAGCGCATTGACCTTCCAGATCCAAGAAGGTGGTTCTCTGGAGCCGGGCTAGAATGTGAGAGCTGTGTTCTTCTTTCTCTCAGGTCAGAAACTGAAATAGTATAGCTGTCCGGTGGCCCCCCCTCCCCCGCGCAGTCACCATGGCAACACAAATCCAAAGGGACAGGGCACTCCCTGTCAGGCATTACCTCTAGGCACTTGCAATCTCCACTGCTGTGCCTCTCCATTTCTTTGGACTCACACATCCCCCTCCCTGGGGACCTTACTGGGTTTTGGTGAGGGGACCTGTCAAGTCTATTTCCATTTCTGCGTTCAAGTCAACTGAGGGGTGCCATGTGCTCATATGACCAGCAGAGGGAGCAGAGAGCCTTAAAGAGAGATGTGGCGGTGGTCGCAGCCGCCAGAATTTGGAGCTGAGAGGGAGGGTCCCCGGAAAGGTACTTCAGACTCAGGGCACTTTAATGACCTTCTGGACATACACCCTTCACCCAGAGCTTCGGCCCAGGCACTTCTTTTCATGTTCTGAGACACCCCTCCCCTAAACCTTCCACTATAACCACCGACCCTTCAACCCACTTTGCCCAAACTCCAACTCTATCCCAGCTCCTCCAAGTTCCATCCAAAGGGTGTGGTGTGTCCGGCCAATAAACTACAGCAGATAGAATGCTTAATTAACATCAACGAAAGCCGACGACTGTGCCTTCAATGTTAACTTTCAGGGGTAAACTTCTCCTTGCCCCGCCCGGCAGTATTTTTCTCAATATTTTCCTGGCTCTGAGTCAGGACCTCTTCGTGGACGGCCGATCCAGGAATCCACGCCGGGGTTTAATGCTCGCCACCAGCAGCGTGTTCG